AGAATTTTGATGATTTTTTTGATTTTTTCCGACTCTATGAAAACAGTAAATAAATCATAAAAATAGAAAAAATGATGAATTTGGGAAATTGAGACCAAAGTCCCGTAACTACTTCGTAGTATGGGACAAATGAGCGGAGAATTTTTTCGCAATGGATGGTCAAGGCAGAATTCTAATCGGATGCCATTTACCCAAAAACCGATTTTTTTTACTATTTCGACTCTACAACACGAATTGGACGAAATCGCGATGAAACTAACGCCTAGACTCAAAGAAACTGGCCCTATGACTCTAAAAACAACTAATAATACCAAGAATCCCCGGCAACGGCGCCAATTTGATCCGCTGTCGCGCGCGGATCAAAACGAGTATTTTTCAAAATTGTAGTATTTAACGACAACTGTAACTCGGATATCGTTCTCACAAGGATTCTTGATTTTATTAAACAACAGAAATCGAATTGGGGGGGGGGGGGGGGGGGGTTTAAGGACGATTTATAAAAAAAAACAGAAAATAAGCGCTTAAAATAAGTGATTATGAAATAAGTCGATCTACTGTTTCGGGTTCCTACTATCATCGATTAATACAATTTAACTTCCCTAAGCGGACTCCTATTCAAATTCGATCACAATTTCATCCAACAAGCGAGAATGAAAAAAAAAGAATTATGTTCCCTTTTCACCGAATTAAGCAAACGGTTAATCAACAAACGGAATAACGAATTAAGCATACGATATAACGCAATTATAATTGGGAAACATAATTCAATCGAACCAACAAGATTACTCTAAGATGATTCGAATTAAGCAAACGAATATAAAAGGCAAAATTGATATGAATAGAAATTGAATTGTAAATTATATTAACCTCAAGTTTTGGAAACCAAGTTACAGCAGATCAACTCTAACGGATTAGTTCTCCATTCTCATTCGTACAAAATTGTTTTCTCTCTTTGTCTACAGTAAAAACGTGATCAATACCCCGTTATGCAGCTGCCCCCCGGTTAAAGAGGAACAATCCATTCGGTTTACAAACCAACTGGGTTGAAAACATAACCCAGGCCCAAAACTACTAACCCAAAACTTAAAAGTCTAAAGTTGCAACTTCAACGACTTTTTCAACCTTTCTGCACTTCGAATCAGCTTCTGGCCAAAACTAGAAAGTTGTAGGCCATTTTCTTATCTTTCCAACGCATGGTCAAACGCCTCGATCCGACTTTTGTAGAATTAGTTATGAATTTTTCCGCGAAAGCTACAGTTGCTAAAAATAAAATACGAAAATTAATTAAATGCAAAAATAAAATAAATTAGCAAAACATATTAAAACATAAAAATAAAAACAATAAACTAAAGAAATGCATTAGTACAATCGTGGAAGGATGTGCATCAAAATGCACTGATCAGTGGTGTTCCTCAACAGAAAGATTGCGCCATGCCCAGGAAATATCAGTATAGCATGAATAAGTGGATTTGGACAACATCTGACTAAGACCAAACTTGTGTGCTACCAAATTCGGTTGATAGTTGGTGAAGCCATAATCGTTTGACCAAGTGTCAATCCGAAAAGAAATGAGAGTCGAGATCAAAAATACTCTCCACACAGTATTCGATTGAGCAGCAACGAAAAGGAGAGATACCAGGAAAATGGTTTTTGAACCAGATGGGGCCAACGTGTCGACCCGTAAAAGGGGCCATGTCAAAAACGAAGTTGGTCTCAAGGAATAGGTTGATATATTTTAAAAATGTAACTTTGTTCAAATTTTCTTGAGGGGTAGTCAAGACAAGTCAAATGCCTTCAATGGGTCGATTACTAAGAAAATGCATAAGGGCTTCAGAAATAAGGTGACCCACGAGATGTTTGAAATTAACATAGAGCTAGTGTTGCAACATCCATAAAGGACCAGAGAGAAGAAGGGCTTTGTCCGTTTTAGGGAGAATCCTAATTCTAATAGAGGTGTGGCCCAGAGATTGGTATAAAAAAGTTAATATCAAATTACCCAGAGAGATCTTTCGACCTTCATGAACTTGAATGGCTAAGTCTATGTAACCCTTAGCCACCTGCAGAGAGCCTGGACAGAACGAATAATATGAGAGCCAACATGTCAGAAATGCAATGTGCTCTATATCATCGACGTTTGTATTTTAACATGGTGATTTTTGATGTATTGGTGGAGACTAGGCCGACTGAAGTCGAACTCAAAGTTGGTCGACAATGTAGGGTTGAAGGTTTCACCTAAAGGTGAGAATCCCATAATAGCAGCAACATCGAACAGAGTAGAAGTCATCAACCCACAAGGAAATGGATTGGTGTTGGTTGAACCTTCCCAGAAGTAAATTGAAGCAAGAATCATGCTAGGATTTATCCTGTAAGCAGTTTTAGATATTTGGATGGCGTCAAAAATATCGTCCTTCTTCCATTGTGTTTCCTTATTCGCTTGCACTTTGTTGAGCCACGTAAGCCAGGCCTTGTTACCAGGAGTGGGCATGGATTGAAAAATCCTAGTGCGTTTCATAAATTTCACGTCGGGAGGACATTTTTCGTATGCAGATGTGGAAGTAGGAGAAAAACAAGGAAAGTATTGTTTTCCCTTGTGAGGGTGAGACCTTGCATATGGATATGGCCCGTGAAATACGAAGAGCTTTTCAACCACTACGAAAGGTATAAGCATTCGCTTCTGCAATTTTACAACTTTAAATGCATCAGTAGAAGGTGGTTGAGGAATGACTTGTAAACCTTCTTCTTCTGTGAGAGTAAAAGTTATGAGGTTATTACTTGTGTTCACCTGGTTTAGAGCAGAAGAGGCCATGACAATATATGCGTGAAAGAGAAAGAAACAAACGAAGAGTTTTCTCTATATGGAAGGTTGCTGGAAAATAAGATCATGAAGGAATAAGAAGAAAGGACAATAAGCGTGAAAGATTATTTATAGACCTATTGAAGTCGTTGATGATGGACAGGTGGCACCTGCTTATGAAATGTTGATCGTCACAAAATTTAGAAATGGAATAGTTAGTAAGGTTTGTTAGAATCTCACACCCTAGAAACTTGGAGCCATCATGAGAAATGATGGAATGATATTGGGAATAGTGACGCAGAAAGTGGTCAACATGACGCATGACGTCAGCTGAGTAGACAAGCAGTCAAAAATTCAAAAAGAAGGAAAATACCAAAATTCTCAATCGACACAGCCTCCGTCGAAATTGGCATTTTGGGGGGAAATTTGTTAGTCTGCGATTTTTGACTAAGAAAATTGATTATAAGCTAAGGGTCATCACCAAGGGAAAAATACTTTCGACACAATCCATGATGAGACAAGAGACGTCGATATATTACCAAGAAAAAGTCCCTCTGAAACTTAACGAAAAATTCATGATGTTGAAGTCAGGTCGATGGAGTCCAGTCGAATCCGAAAACATTTAACATTAAAGCGGTTTCATCGACGGTTACCATAGAACGTGGAAAGGCTCAAAAGGCAGTTTTATCACAAATTTCGAACATGGTTATATAATAATTGTTGAACGTGTAGGATAACAGTTATTTTTGCTTATTTATTTAAGTAAGTTTTCATTCATGTCAGAGGTCGCATTTTATAACATTTTAAAAAGGAATTCAAGGTATCCACGTCAAGAGAAAAACGAGTCACTTCAAAGAAATGTATGTGTGCGTCCATCTTTAATTCAAAGCAATTTATTTCAAATTTTGTGTCTTGTTTATCATTTTCACCTTGCAAATTTGTCTTTGTTTTTTTTACCTTTTTCTGTTTCGGTTTATACCCATTTCTCATCCCAAAATACCATATTAAACTTAACATTAAGTCTAAGACTCTTGTAGTCAGTCTTGCAAGTAAACTTTATGTAAGAGGTTAGAGATTGTTCGCGATAAACACCTGTGAACACCTACAAAAATGTTGGCAAAATCTAGACCGTTAAAAAATCTTTAGTACATACACTACTCAAAATTTCAACTTGTTCGAAGTTTCCGATATAAAATTGCACATTTTAAAATTTCTAAATCAAATTGCAATTTCCGGAAAAATTTAATATAACTATCATAAATTTCATACGTACACCCGAAATTTCAGACTTTCTATCAAAAATTTCATTAGACCATTTTGTTCTTTTTTTTTATTAGATATTTTTGACATTATGAAAATAGTGGGGTGCCAAGTTCAAATTTAGGAGTGGCAGGTTAAATTTTCCAAATTTTTATATTACGGTTGATCAAGTCTAAATTCTTAGCAACCATAATAAACCTATTAAATGTGAAAGATTTGAATGTCTAACATTCAATTATGTTCTCACTTGTCTGAGTTGCTGTTAGCTTAGAGGAATCGTAAGCAAATCCTTAAAAAATTAACAAATTTTGATTCTCCTATAAAATATTTTTCTCTGATTTTTATCCCTCTAATATTAGTTTTTTATCCCCTAGCATTCATTTTATGACAGATAAACAAAATTTACTTTAGGGGGTAATTATTAATTGATAGTTATATATTTAAGTAGTATTTTAATATATAACTACTAATTAATAATTATCCTCTATCATTAGGGGTCAAGGAAAACTTTTCAAATACTCACACGCTAACAAAACATTATTCAATGTCACTTGATACACACAACATCTGCAAAGAAACATAAGTAGTTAACATCTGTCACATAACAAGAGACCAAACATAGTCCCTTTCATATTTTAGAGGGATTGAAACCATATTTAACAAAAAATATAAATACTCGTGATAAATATACTAATTTTACAAAATAACAAACAATTACAAAGAATTGAAGAAATAATCTACTATCAAGTGCATAATTATGTTAAGGAATGAAGGGCAAACAATAAATTAAGTCCCTGGTCAGTTTAACAAAACGTGTCCACTAGTATTTAAACAAATCCAGAGTAAGTTACATCACGTGTCACAACATTCAACACTAATTGAAAAGAAGATACCTATATGAAAATAGCACTTAGCGATAAATAGGAGTAACAAGCAACTAGTTGGGATGATAAATATTTACAGTAGAAGATGCCAAAAGAACCAAACAGTAAGTCACCATCTTGATGCCTACTTGAAAGTCGTTGGTTTTAAGATTTCTCGTAGACAAAAACATTGCTCACAGACAAAGATGATGGATGAAAAGTTGCATAAATTCTATAATCACCATTGACCAAATTGTTTTTGTTAGATTCATATGGCATGATTCCTCGTTCTCGTGTGGGTCTATGTATGCTCAATACTCAATGACGGAATGTCTTTACTGCCCTTTCTATGTGGGTCTATGTATGCTCAATACTCAATGACGGAATGTCTTTACTGCCCTTTCTATCTGTCTCCGGCAAAGAGGGCAACTGGTCAAGTGCGATGAGCAAGCTGTACAGCAGCACATATGCCCACACCTGACATCACAACATAGATTTAAGAGTAATACTTGGAATGTTAAAATAACTAGATAGTTCTACTATAGGGGCTTCAAACATCTCATTTTAAGTGGTTTTGGCAGGCATGTTCTTATATTGGTAAGCATCCATATATAATTGAAGTAACAAAGTTCAGCTCACTAACAAATTCCCTGCAAAGTGATACTTTCTTTTGCATATAAAACAGTATGCGTTACAAGATGTTGTTTTGAGTCGAATACAATGGATAAGCAACTTTTCTTCATGTTACAGAATACTCGATAAAGATCACAAAGAAGAAATGGTATGGGGATATTTTATATCAATGAGAAAAATAAAGAAAATTGAAAATCGGGGCAGAGATTCACAAACATGGGGGCATGCTAGTCCTTCTCGGTGTCAATGCTTCGTACAATAGTATGACATACAATTAGAGAAGAAGATAAGATTGATAGCTTACGGAACAAAAACGGAATTATATTCCTGCTCGAGGCATATTACACACAAATCTGGCATTGAGCGTTCCCTTTTAGCACCATCTAAGTTGTCAGCAATTTCACCTGAGAAAGAATCATAAATTTCAGGCATTTAATGAAACAGCGATTGCAACTTGCAAGCTTAAATATTGTAGAAACAGTGCAATATACCTCCATTATCTTGTCCAGACATCTTAGCAGCTGCAGCAAGAACCCTGCATAAAATTGTTCAGATTATTAAAGGTGAGGCAATATAAAATGGAGTGGAATCATATATTTCCAAATTGAAAGGTATTCAGCGGTATTCAGTTTTGTCGCCACTGATGTGTACCTTTTTTGTATTTCGTTGCGATGGCGTCTTTCCATGATGTACCGGATAGCATGATTAGCTATTAGATATACACCAAACAATGTCAAGCCCATAGAAGCGCACTTATACCACCTGATAGAAAATTTTAGTCAATAGAAAATCCTGTAGGAAAAAAACAAACAATAAGCAAATATAAAGTAAAGCAACCTCGCCCATTTCCCAAGATTTGCAATAAGTTCATCAATTGTTTTGGGAGAGACATAAAATGGCCCTTTGGTGGGTCGCTGAATTCGAATGGTTCCGACGTCGTCTTTAGCAGCCTGATCATACAGTTTAAAAATCATTCCTTTAAAAAAAGTTTGAAACAGGCAAATAGCAAAGGGTTAATATTCACAGAGAAACAACACATCAGAGTAGATAAACTGAATATAGGAAGTAAGACCTCAAATAAAAATATAATGAAGTCCTTGTAGACCTTTTCTTTGGAACAAAGAATTTTATTATAATATCATATGCTGTAACACGTTTCGCTTTGTGAGAAACAACAACAACTATGATCAGATTTTGATAATTCATAATGATTTTACTTATGTGTAAACGATAATCAATGCGAGAAACCCTTCCCATATAAAACTTGCACCGTGAGGTATATGCATCGCAGAAGCATGTGTTTATTGAAAGTATTGTTCTAGCCAGTAACCTGGTATACCCTGTACCATTACCTATCTACTCTGTAACACTTCTAATGCCAATTATAATGAAATTCTGTAATATATGATATTCTTGAGAAAGTAACTAGCTGTATCTTGGAAACTAAATAAATTACCTCACCAACAACAGTCAAGGAAGTTCCAACTGGAAGTACCCGTTCAATTCTCTTAACTCCAAGCATCTGAAAGTATAGTTTCAATTATGTCAGTTTACAAAATAAGCATCTGAGTGCTTCAATTTTTTTTGCAGGGGGAGAGGCAGAGATTGAATGGTGTCGCCAAGTACTAACACTCCCACCTTTAGACCTTGGAGATAATCCAATGTTCCACGTACAATTGACCGACCCGACTCTTCAAATGCCTCACTTCCAACAGGCAATACAAAACCAGTGGCACCGCGAGCTCCGACTACACGCACACGATCAGTTCCATCACCCTGACACAAAAAATTGAAGGAATTATTATGTTAAATCATTACTTCTAGTGAATTTGGTTTCCACTCATAGAGCATACACACACACACACACGCATACACATACTATAATAATTTTGATTTTTTATTATCATTTCCCTTTTCCTTGCTCCGGAAAGGGAGTGTTCAAAAGCTTAAATATTGACTTTAAAACGGTAAGAAAGTGTTTTGCATCCCATCATCCAGAAGATAACCGACAACAACTACACTAAAGAGAAGAACTACACACCAGATACCAAGGAACCTCTTTACTCATGGATAACATTAACGCAGAATCTTGTATCCATGAACCATTTTCATTGTGCTTCAGAAAATGTTGCTCAGCCTAAAAAAACAAATCGTAAACAAGTACGTTATCAGTCGTAAAAAGGCAAACAACGAGATAAGCAATGTTCTTATAAACTAACAGATCATTCACGCACTTAAAATATTTAACTCTACATACCGTTTCTTCAACTATTACACCTCTTAAACCGCTAAACTCACAACTAATCGGGGTTTCAGAACCAACTCTTCCAGAAATTGCAACAACCAAAGGGAGTATTTCCTCATCCAAGAGTTTGGCTGAAAATTGAAAATCCCAAACAGAATCAGATAAACTCAATAAGCATTAGGAAAAACCAAAATCAATAACAGTAAAAGTTTCAAACCTAGCTCCCTCAATTGATTAACCCTGCTAACAGAATTAAGAATTTCAGCATCCCTACACGAAAACAAAAAAACTCTCATTAATATTATTATTATTATTATACAAAAAGATGAAAACATTGAAGGATATGAAATTGCTGAAAGGAAAGGGATTGTAGCAATACCTGCCACTTGCTCTACCGAGAAAGTAAAGAGCAGCAGCACTCAAACAGCAACTGATGCCACGCCAAGGAACCATCGCCATCTTCAAGGAAACAGAGTTCACAGAGTCATTGATCGTTAGAATTGAAAAAACGAGAAAAAGGGTTTTGGGTTGAGAGAAAATCGAGATAGTGTTATAAGGATTTAGGTTTATTAGGTAAGAAGAGAATTTGCAAGGATAATAATAAGTTAGAATTGAGGGAAAATGAAATTAAGTGTAAAATGAAGGAATTAGATGCAAGGAGTAGAGGGAAGGGGAAAAGAAAAGAAGAAAAGAGAATAGGATAGAGTGTATCACCCTGCCTGCGTGTCAGGGTTCTCCTCACAAAATAAATCTCATCATTTAAAAATTATAAATTTTAAAAATATTTCGACTACATTGCGAATAACATGTAATTTATTATATTATAAATATATAAAATGTAAAATATTTTAAAATTCTAACTTAATTCCGATGAATTTTAGTTTAAACTTTTTTATTCTATAAATGGAAGTGATTTATTGCATATTTGTTACAATTATATGTATTTGGTCATTAATACAGGCGATATGTCATACCATCATTTTTATTACTTTTTTTTAATTTTAATTTTATTAATCTATTATGAGAATTAATCTATGTCGTAGCCAGTTTGAAACTGGATATTTGAATGTCTTGATGATGCACTGTTATGTTAAATTATAGACCGTAGGTTTGAAACTGTCTTGTTGCCTAAAAATTAAAAGAGGACAAGTTAGTTAAAATTGAAGAAGTTGATGAATGCATACTGTGATTGTCAATCTGTGGACCTGAATTCAATTGCTTTCTTATTCGACAGCCGCTGACTCAAGGCAGAATAGACTCCTGATGAGGTTTGTCCGTCTCCTTGACTTTTTCCGTTTTGATCTGGAAATATATGTAGTAAACTCATTTAATTTTCTTTCTCGGCAACTGTATCGTTTTTGTGAAGTGCTAAGATTTCAGACAAGTAATGGTTTTTCAAGTAATGGTTTGTCGTGTCCAGTGTTTATGTAAGATTCTTAGAGATTCATAGATTGTGTCGTAAGTTAGAAATAGATGTTGTTACTAACAAATTAATGTCTTGATCATGTCTCAGATGTTGTTTCCTTATGATGAAATTGTGAAGATTTTCCAAAGTGAAGTCTTTGGCATATTTCCCAAGAGCCTTTTGAATATTGGAAATAGGTAATAGTGGTGTATTATCTAAAAACCTTATTGTACCTTTTAGGTGTATTTAAATCAACATGAAATATGTTTTTTCTTCGTTGTGCGGTTGTTATGTAATTTTTGTTGTTCGACATTACTTTGTTTTATTTTTCTTGAATCAGAAGTCTTAGTTAAAGTTCTTTTCCAAACTCATTTTCAATATAAACAGTTTGATGAGGATGAATTTGGATATATGCTTGTTGATATACTCAAGGAGAATAACATAAACAACCAAGGGATACGTTTTGACCCTGGTGCACGTACTGCCTTAGCATTTGTTACACTGAGGAGTGACAGAGAGCGAGAGTTCATGTTTTATCGTAATCCTAGTGTTGATATGCTACTCTAAGAAGATGAACTAGACTTGGACTTAATCAGGAAGGTGAAAATTAAAACTTCAAAACTCTGGCCGAGTCTATGTTCTTCCAACATTTTCCACTTTAACTCTACCTAATTCATATATTATTTTAAAATTGCTCTGTTATTTATTTGTGGCAGGTGTTGTACCCCAAAATTTGCCTCCCATTTTTCATACAAGATACAATCCTAGGGTTTCTCGGATATTCAAGTTGGCTCAGAAATCGATCAGACAGATTCTCTTCCAAGGCAGTAAAATTAGCAATTAGGGTTTCGCATTTCTCAAAAGAAAATGAGTTTTCAAAGTTTCAAATGGTCTTTATGGTCCTTCATGTGTTATAAAAGATGTTTGTGCCAAGTTTCAAGCCTCGCTCGTGAGTTTGCTCAGTCAGTGGTTCAGACGACTGAAAATGACTCCATTAACCCAAAAGATGACCTTTTGCGACATCAAGTTCAAGTGACTGTAACTTCTTCGTTATTCGATATTTTTGGATGTTTCTTTTGCATATGACTCTCCTTGACGTCATCTCTAATTTCTCTTCACAAGTCAAGATTTGATTATGTGTGAAAGATCGTCAGAAAATTTGAATGCTTTAAAGGTCATTTTGCAAATTTGACCTAATCACAAGAAACTCTTGTCCAATTTTCGAGGCTCACAACTTCTTCAATTTTCAATATCATGAAGTGATTCTTTTTGCAAAGTATCACAAATAGCATTGTCTATGAGATTACTTCAATGATCAAAGTCAAAATGCGCTTGGAAGACCATGAAATTTATTAAAATTTTATAGGAATTTCTTGACTGTAGAATGTTATTTCTAGATGTTGATCATTACGTTGAGATAATTCATTGAAACAAGAGTTTGAGTTTGAAAGTCCATGGATAGTTTGTTATTCGTACTTCAAATCGTTCGCGTTTGGACGATAATGATTATTGGATCGAAATAGGATTTCTATAAAAAATTCTTACAGGATATTCAAAAGGATCAGTATGCTTATGGCGCAAATTTGATATACTTGAAAAAGAATTCATTCATGAGAACTATTTTGAATTCAAAGAATTCATCAAACTTCATTCATCTTCATCTTCATTCAAGTCTTCAATCTTTCTTTCAAATCGATTGCAAGTGCAGCACCATTTCCATTTCCAAATTCAAGACATCCATTTCAAGTTTGCAAGAATTCATGATTCAATTCTACAAGAAATTACAAAGCATTATTCAAGGCATGTTTCAAAGATTCAAGTATCGTTCTTTTCTCAAGAGGCATTTTAAAAGAAGAATCCAAATTATGCTCATGATTTAAATTGTATCAAAAGGGAATATTCAAGCTTTGTAGAAACAAATTCAAGATGAATCAAGTATGCAAGGTTGCACCAAAATTTCATTGTATAAATTTACAAGTGAATTGGAATTCATTGTTTAAAATTACAAGGGAACTGATATACACTTTACAAGTTTCTAAATCTTAAAACTCAAATCACAAGTTCACAATGTTACAAATTCCTAACAATGCACTAAACTACAAAGGAATTTCTTCATCATCAAGCTTTTTTCAAGCGTTTCAAGTCACTCTTCGTCATTTCTCCCTATCATCCAATGTGCTCGTACATGTAAACAAAAGAAGAGCATTAGTTAGCAAAATTCATGTTGGAATAAGAATGGAAAATTTCAAAGAAATCTTTACATTTTCATCATTAGGGATTGGTAAGAGGAATCAGAAATAAGGGGGGCAATGTTTCATCCGTATTTGGTCCATTGCAAATCACAATCTATTAATTGGTTCACAGAGGACAAAATGAAGAGAAATACAAGTCAAAATTAATAGTTCATCATTATTTCAAATGCTGCAAAAATAGTTTACATCACAGTAAAAAAGAACAATCACAAGAAGCCAAAATGCTGTCAAAAATGGACTGCATTGCAGCCCTCCATAGGCTGTCCATAAGAGGCCAAAATCTGTCAAGAATAGCTGCAAACATACAGTCAGAATTGCATATATATAGGCCAAGTCAGAACTGCAACAAAAAAGGAGTGAGACAACATAACACAAATGTTCAAATCCAGATTCTTTTCCCCCCAAAAGTTCCATTCTCTTACTGTTATAAGAGAAGCAGTTTACACATAACAAAGGAGATTTTTTTACATCAAGAAAAAAGAACATAATACATTTTACAGCAACCAACAAAAATCCAAAAATCACAACATCAATATCCCCATTCAAGAAATTTAGGCCAGACATCATAAAAAGAAAAGGAAAACATCTTTCTATTCATCATTTTTCTTGAACAACACCCCTTCAGAAAAATCGAAAAAATTCTATTCAAGAAAATCAAAAACTAAAATCAACTTCCGTGTCAAGAAAAAAAGTCATGAAGTCAACAACAACAAAATCAAGCATAATATTTTCAGAAGCAGATCCAGATCGGTAAATCTTCATTACTTCTCTGCATTTATCAAAACCTTAAATATTGAATTTGTATTTACATGTGTTATTTTATTGTTATAACCAAATAAAATCCAGAAAAATTACACAGTAAAATAAAAAATACACTCACCTCTCATCTGTAAAACTTCTTCATCGTCCACATCTCAAAACCGTAGCAACTAACCACACATCCATAATAACAATCCCAACACAAGCAACAAAGAACAAAAAAGATTTAGAAGAAGAAGGCGGTCTCTGAACAGAGCGAGGTTCAAAAATTACCCGAAAGATCTCGAACCTGATTCACTCTTTGAGACGAAGAGATACCATGAGCGATTAGAAATAGAGGAAGATTTAGAGGACGTGATTGATAGAAGGAGCAAGATTATCAAGTTTTAGTTGTTGTTGCTGTCGTTTGGAAGAGAGTTGAATCGCCATAAGACAGAACGGAAGTTTGATTGTTGTCGTTCATGCAGTTTACAGAAGAAGAAGAAAAGAGAGTTCTTTTTTAGCGTGATGACAAAAAACAGAAGAGGAAGATGGAGATGATTCGGTTTAGAGAGAGAGGGAGTTTTGTTCCATTTTTTACGGTAATTTTTTAGAATAAAAAAGAAAACAAAAAAAGGTCATTGGAACTAACAATAATAATAATAATCTGAATCTTTTTTCCTTTCCCCTTTCCAACGTAACATTGGTAGCCAGCGGCGTCGTTTCACTTTTTTTGTTTAGGGTTTACAATTTTTTGTGTATACTTTCCAAACGGGGTCAGCTTTTGGGCTTTTTGGCCCAATCCAATATCTGCTACCATTTTCCCTTTTTTTCTAATAAAACCATAATTATAATGAATAAGTAGTGTAGTTCAGTTGGCAAAGTGCATCGTTAATAACCCAAATGGTCTGAGTTTGATTCCTCATGTGGGCATTTTTGTTTTTGCTTATTTCTTTCAACCTTATCTTCTCTATTTTTTTATTTATATTTTAGTTTTAATAAAATAATTCAACTAAACTTAAAAAAAACATACATTCTTCTTTTTTATACATAATTAAATTGAC